CCAAATAAATCTGTTAGTCTTTTGGTGCCACCAGACTCCTTGTTGTGTTCATATTGGTAAAGGGATTTTAAGCTTTAATTGTATTGGTTACTGGTTGACATCCAGTTTAGTTTAGGCAAGTAAAGGTCAAAAGGGGTTCCCCATTGATGGTTTTTGGGTGGCTTAGTGATAGATCTAAGCTAGCAAGAGTTGTGGACTAGATGCTCACAGGTGCTGGCTAAGTACCATTAGTGCAGAGGTTCCTGCATAAGTGAGACGAGACGTTGATATCCTCTCTGATCATAGACGGGATTCTCTGTCCTGCCAAAACTTCTCATGACCAAAACATTCTACTACTGTGGTGCCACAAGGTGGCAGAGCTAACCCTCTGATGATGGAGGACTCCGCCCACCTAGCATGGTGATGGGGGCTTTAAAAAGGCGAGAGGAGATTGCAAAATAGCAGTGTTTAAACACAAAGGTGTACGGGTGCGTGTGAGAGAGAGAAGTGGATGGGGGTGGGTGGATTGGTAGAGACCCTGGATGGATGGACGGTACACAGCCGTGTTCTCTGTAAAAGGAAATGTTTCTCCTTTCAGTTTCGTTCAGTGAATTTAGAGCTGCTTTGTGTTCCTCTCGTGTCTTGCACTGATCAGTTTGCGCCATGTGGATGGTTATTGCACGTGACTGGCTGGCGTGACAGGTGTCTGTGATGATCGGGGATCATGTGGCTGCTTAACCCAGACAGGTCCCTAGCTGGCCTTTCGGGACCCTGGAGCTGGGGCTGGATCTCTGTGCAGAGAGATGGGGAGGAGCAGGGTGGGTGAGAAAGCCCAGCCCAGTGTGACCTGCGGGAGAGGCACAGCCCTGGGATGGGACAAAGCGAAAGGGAGCGGGGGAGGGAGAACAGAGACCAGCTGGGCGCCCCCTCCTGGGATGTTCTGTGCTGCCAAGATGGAGGGGGAGGCTCTCGATCTGCTGCCAAATAGACCATCCAGTTCTGAGCTACCGAAACTCACCCAGCGCAGAGGGGCCAGCACAACCCTTCCTTCACCCCCCTCTGCATGGGACATGCCTGGCGCCCTCTCCGTCAGGCTCACCCTCTGCTTAGGGGTGAATTCCACCCTCCGCTCTCCCCCTCCTCCTCTCCGGGGCCTTCCAGCCCTCGGGGTTTTGGAGAGAGGCTTTGCAGTCTGCTGTGAGGCCTGTTGAATCGGGGGATCCATGGAGCTCAGTCAGTGGGGAGGGTGGAGCAGCCTCACGCCACCTGTAGTCAGCAGAGCGCGGGTGACTGGTCCAGGCAGGGGAGAGACAAGGTGGGGGGGATGAGGGAGATCCAGGAAGGGGACAAATGGGGTCAGGTCACATTTAGGCTTCTGAATGAAGTGGGGATTCTGGGCTTAGCCCGTTGATGCTCAGGCCCCTTGAAACGGCTCCAGGGTGTGACTGTAACTGACGCTTTCTTCGAGGCCCCTTCATGCTGCCGGAGGGGTGGAAAGGGACCTCGGTGTCCCTGGGAATCAGGCTGATCAGACCCTGCAGGCCAGTAGTCGAATGTCTGAGCAAGACCACCGCTCTTGGCAACAAGAGACATGTCGCTGTTGTCAGGGAGATGTGGTTTTGACCTTGGTCTGGGCCCGCCAGCCTGTTTGCTCACGAAATACCCAGAGCTGTCACAGCCAAATGGGAGCTGGGGGGTGGCTTTGATAACAAGGAATAGCTGTCTGTCTATCCGGCTACCCCCATTCACACCCACCTATCCGTCCCCATACACAGCTACCTGTCATCATGTTTCTAAAACCCTCCTCACTTAGGCATTGAGTTTACCAGCCCTCCGCTCCATCCCTGGCTTCCAAATCTCTCTCACTTGAACCCAGATGGAGGTGGCGTTCCGGAGCCACCGATCTCCCTAGCACTCTGGAGACAGGCGTGTCCATGTGGGACGGTTTTCAGCTTCACCTCCTCTCTGACCAGCTCGATTGCGGCCATTGTGCTAGTCGGTGCTGTGACCGCTTCAGCTCCCCCAAGCCTCGCCAGGTCAGGCGAGGGAATCCTGGGTAGAGCTGCTCCATCTGGGCAGACCTTGCCCCGGAGGGTTCCCCTTTGTCTCACCCTGCCCCGTGGGGTTGGGGAAACAAGGGCTTCCCCATGGAGGGAGTGCTCTGTCTGCCTCGCACAGACCAGAGAATTCCACCCCGTCACCCTGCGCGGAGCCCAGGGCTTGTGTCTGGCTAACGCGTCACTTCCAGACAGGCTGGAGAGCTCCTGGCCCGTGTCAGGGTGGGGGCTGCAGCTGCACTGACCCAGTGGGAATTCCGTGCAGGGCCTTGAATTCTGGGTGCTCCCCGGTGCAGGGGGGGCATAACACCATGGCTAGCCCCCACCGGAGGGAGCAACGTGGGCCAGGGAGCCCTCGCCTTCCTCCTCCCCGCAGTAGCTGTCCTTGTGCTTGGGCCAGGGGAAGGGCGGCAATTGAGACCAGGGTGAGTGGTTGACGGGGTGGGAGGCTCATTACGCTCCCCTTTCCGCTACACTACCTGGTCAGGAGCCAGACCCAACCGGACTCTCCATGCCTCAGTTTCCCCATCTGCAAAATGGCCAACCCCACCCGCCGGCACCTGTGGGGCTAAAGCCTGCTGCTGGTTGTAAAGGGCTGTAGTGGGTGGGAGGCGAGGTGGACTGTTGCAAAGATACAATGACCAGAGGAGGAAGTAACAACACCCGGAGCTTGTGGTCTGAAGGAGCTGGTGCTGCGTAGCTGTGACGGTTGTCTCAGCGCCTTCGCCAGTGACGGGGGAAGCAAAGCTCCCAGGAGGCAAATCCAGCCTGCTGCGAGAGCATGGGCCTGGGCCGTGCTCGGCTCCCCCTGCTTGCTGTCCTGGCCCTAGCTCTCCGAGCCCCAGGTGAGTGATGGGGGCGTTACGGCTGCGAGACACGTGGCAACCTCGTGTCGAGGGGAACCTTGGAAACCACAGTCCCTGGGCCCAGGCTTATACTGGTGTAAATCCAGAGCCGCTCCACTGAGCTCAGCTCAGTGACTCTGGATTTATATCAGTGTAACTGAAAGCGCAGTGTGTGTTGGGCTCCCTCCTTACTCTGCTAGCTGGTTCCCTGCCAGGAACAATTGCTGGGCCTAGCTCCACCTCCCCGAGCTCTGTGCCAGGGGTAGGGGAGATGTTTCTCTTCCCCGGGGGGGGGGCACCAGGAGGCGGTTCTGGTCCCCAGAGCTGATGGGAACAGAAATGGATACGTAGGGTATTGGGATTCCTAGGGAGAAGTGGAAAAGAGCAGCAGAGAGGGAGGATTGCCTAGTGGTTAGAGCACTAGCCTAGGCGTTGGGAGTCCAGGGTGCAGTTCCCTGCTCTGCCACACACTCTGTGTGACTTTGGGTGAGTCACTTAGACGCTCCGTGCCTCAGTTTCCCCAGCCGTACAATGGGCATAATGGCACTGCCGTGCCTCACAGTGGGGATTGGGAAAATAAAGGCATGAATGATTGTGAGGTGCCCAGATGCTACGGTGATGGCTGCCCTAGAAACACCGAGGGTAAAAGTCTCTAGGGTCAGCTCGGAGGCCAAAACCAGACCCGGCAGCTGGGGATAGGAATGGACTCCCGTCAGTTTGTTCTCTCTGGCTTGTGCTGCAGCAAGTGGGGAAATCAGTGCTCACCCCCACCCCTACCCCCCGCAACTTTCAGCTCCTGGGCTCTGTTTTTCAGATCCTGGATTAACCCAAGCACTGACTCCCCCCCACCAGGTGAATGGGATTCTGGGAGGATCAGTTGTGCTGTCTGTGAATCTATCCCCCGGGAGACAGGTGAAAGAGATCGAATGGAGCTTTCGTGCTGGGTCAGGTGTGACATTCCAGCTGGCTGAGTTCAGTGGGGGGAAGTTTGAGCGACCCGATCCCAACGACAGATTTAAGCAGAGGCTAGAAAAGTACAATGAGACCTCGCTGAGGATCAAGGCTCTGGAGCTGGGCGATCGCGGAGTTTATGAGGCCCGGATTAAGATAGTACCAGCAACTGTGGAGGAACAGGCCTTTCGCCTCGCGGTCTATGGTAAGTGACTGTTTAAAACCCTGTTTAAGTGAAGTTTCAACAAGTGAAATCATCTTCCAGGGCGGTTAATAAATGCGTGTTTCTTCGGCCTCGTCCCCAGGACACAGGGCCCCGTGGATAATAACTCCTCGCTCGTGCCCTGCAGTGTCCTGCGGAGGAAATACAGGCACTGGGGTTGAGTTTTTCCCAGCCTGCACAAGGCAGGGAGGAGAATGTGCGGGAGGAAGGTTGTAACCCAGCCCCTCAGTTCTGCACAACTGAGAACCTCCCTCCAGGAATTCGAACCTACATCAAGTGGTTCCAGGGCCAGGCTGGTGCTGGGAGGCTAATTTCTAGGGGTGAGTCTGTGATCCCCCTTTGGCAGTGTGCGCCACAGGAACACGATGATGGCCCTGCTCGATACAGAGCTGAATGCATAGCTGCAGGGTGGATGCTGGGGGCATGCTGTGATGGCCCTGTGACCTGCATAGCTGTCCCCTGGCTCTGCTGTGCACAGTCATCCCCTCTGTTCCCGAGGCCATCTAAGCCACCCCAGTGAGGATAGTGGTGCTCCTTGCTTGTGAA